AAAGTTATTATGATTACTTAATACTAAAAACGTTGTATATACCTATTATAGTTATTAAGGTAAATCGATTTGTAAGAACCTAAACCTAATATAGGTATTAGGTACCTAAAATTTCAAAGAGCCAGGCAGTTGCAGCATCGGGCCCAGCTTTACCATATCAATGTTGAGTCATTAAAAGGTGTATTATATATACTCAAAGTAGTAGTACTACAACCGATAATTTTATGCGTTAGATTTTGTAATGATTTGACTATGTATAGATAATCCTTTTATAATAATTAAGATTTAAAATAACTACTTTACTACCATCCTTTAACAATATATATCAGAAAATTATTTTGATTTTAGCTAACCGTACTAACAACCGTAAACAGAATGCCGTAAACGAGAAGAAAATATATTTCTATAGCGCAATTACGTTTTCTATAATCTTGGAAAATAAACCCAATTGAAATTTTTTACATGAGTATATTTATTTTTTATTTAATTAGACTTATTTCTTATGGATTTCATCCTACTCATTTTTAGATCTTACGATTCGAGGAATAAAAATATAAAGAAATTGAAATGAAGCTTATATAAACAAAATATATTAATTCCTTCGCTTTTATATTAAGTTTAGTACCTACTTTATATAACATATACCTAATATTAAATATAAAAAGGTTCAAAAAACATTTTTCTACGAGGTTAAGTTGGTTCGTTGTATCCGAAAATGATCTGTTGATATCAAATACACTTATTTTGCATTTTCAAGTGACAACCGGAACAATATGAAACTAACTAAATAAGTAAGAGACATTCCGATAATTGTTTTAGGTGTTTTAAAGAATAAAATTGTGATCGAGTAAATGCAAACTACAAAGAATTAAAGAGGAACTAATAAAAGCTTTAGAAACATTGAGCAGAGCGGTTTCGCAGTTTCTATCCGCCATTGTCTGCACCTGTCTGTACGTACTTATTCGACAATTATTTTTTACGTTCATTATTTATTAACTGTTTGAAAGTAATAATTTAGTTCGACGTAAAATTAACCAAATAGTATACTTATTATTCACCACAATCTTGAAAAAAAATCTCATCAAGCTGAATTCGGAGAAAAAAACTATTAAGATTAGACGTAGTAGAATAATTACTTCCAAATTATTTTAAAGTCGATGAAACCTTTTTGTTACAAACTATTATATTATAGGTATATGCTAAGAAAAGCACTTAATATGAAAAAAAAAACACTTTTTTTCCTCAATTTATTGTCATTTTTTTCACTAAATTAAATCACATAATTTGGCTATCATAATATGTACACTTACAATTAACAATATTACAATACATTTCCTATGAAATTTTCCAATTAAAATTTCACAGTTAATAAATTTAAAATATTTGCAAGGAACTATTTGTATAATATACCGCCCATCCACATTGTTGTGCATTACAGCCAAAAATTCGCCGAAGAATTTTGTGCGATATTTGTTTAATGTCTGATATTTGTTTATTTTAAAGTCAATAAATATATTAATACATATTACATAGTTACATTTGACGCTTCGTATAGATTTCTCAGCCATGAGATATTTTCCCGCAGCAAAAAGCATCCTATATGTTGACCCGGATAAACAATTATCATCAAAATCTGTTCAGTACTTTACTAGTGATGCGTTCGCAGACAGACAGACAAAAATTCTAAAGACTAGATTCGGACTGTGTATTGACAATAATGACATGTTAAAATCCATACTTAATATTATAAATGTGAAAGTGTGTTTGTTTGTTTGTCCTTCTTTCACGTCGAAATGGAGTGACGAATTTTGTGTTGGAATAATTGGAGCGCTCGAGAGAGACATAAGCTACTTTTTATCGCGGGAGGTTATCTAATTTCCACGGGGAAACACGTTATAATACAATCCAAAAAAATATTTATGATCAGAATTACTTGAAACTTGGTATCAATGCTCTTCAATATAATTAAATAAATATGTGTCTTAGCATTTTTCGAAATTCATTCTATAAGGGCGTAAAATAGGGGACGAAAGTTAGCATGAAACTACCTTTTTAGATATGTCTTTGTAGCTTTAGCGCGAGCTAAATCGCGGGTTCTGCTACTTTTATCATGAATTAATCAATCGAATGTTAAAATTTTATTATATGTATAGAAGAAGATATTGAACGCCTCGTATATGTGCAATAATTTTTTTAGAACATATTATCATTATTATTTCGCTTGCAGTACCAAGAAATTATAGTATTCTAATGGTGTGAAATTTTATAATAGCTACCTTTATCGAAGATCGGGCGTGCGGTGCAATATTCTTCTTCATGGTCACCGCAGCTTTCTTTTGATGTGATGACAACTGGCGTGATGATCAAAAGAAAAATCGACCAAAAAGTGTATGAAGACATCTTGTCCCTACTCGTCCGGCCAGTGCCACTGCTCAGTAGTCACTATAAAATCACAATTGATTTGGTGAAAGCCACTTCCACTCTTCAGCATAACAAAAAAGGAACAGAAAACTGTACCTTAAATTGAAAGTGAGCGTAAAAAGTTAAGATCAAGAAATTAGAAATTCAATTCTTAGAGTTTATCGAAAACGAAACGTAGGTACATACATAATGTACATGGTAAATATTACGGATAAGAACAAAATTTTAAGCTTTAAAATATTATAATTAGATTATAAAAAAATATGGGAGAAGTCTTAACCTGTCTGGCGCACCGTGGGCGCCATAACACATAAATATGTAATATATCGAAGTAGATTGTATAGTGAATAAGGTGACGAAATATCCGTTTCATTTCTCCTCACTTTTTTAGTCATTATTGTTCACCAAAGCTATAAAAGCTTAAATATTAAAAAAAAAGCTTGAAAGCTAAAATTGTTGTTGTTGGTACATTAACACACAGCACCATCTAGTTCCATGGTAAGCTACGAGGGTAAAGAAATCATTATTAAAGTATGTTACTAATAGGTTTTTTAATTAATATTTTTTACGAAAGCTCTATCTAGTAATCGAACTTCCTATTTAAGATATATTCCGGTTTCAAATGTAGCGCTACGATAGGTACCTATAGATGATTTAAGCATACCTATTGTGCTGATTACTGATAAGTTGCCATTGGTTTTAATATTTGGAACAAATCTTTCTGTATATCAATGCTGTTTTAACTGGTCAGTATTTACTTGAATATTTACATTGAGAATACTTTGACGGCTTCAAAATAAATTCAATATAACATAGTGAAATAATCACGAAATTGAAAAAATAGCATAACATAAGTAGATACATAATTCACAAACTGAAAAAAGTTACTCGGTTATACACTAGTATAGTACTATGTGATCTGTTTGTCTATACTATATTTTCTATGTAGGCGGGAAGTGTACAGAAAAGCTGTGACAGGCCAGGCAGAACAAATATCAAGCTAAATTAAAATGCCAGTGGATGGAAGCCCACATACTCGTCCGAATACCTACTCGCATTTGTTAATTGAAATAAATCTACAATTTTCATAACAATACTTAAATATTTTAGGAACAGGGAACTGAAATGTTAATAAATATAAGTATGATAATTATTTTCATGCAGCTTAACTTAAAAAGTTAACATGCACACACTTACACTTTGAGACGTAATAAGCTTATCGATTTTAATCAGTTATTACTGATACAAAGTACCTACTATATTTCCATTAATTGAGTGAAAACTCTAAAATATCTATATGTGGTACTGATTAAGATTTATAGATAAAAAGTGTATTAGTTCAGCGCGGTATCGTGAAATAAACTATAAATAAAATAGATTTGTTATAGAGAAAGTTTGTGGGTCGTTACAAGTCAGTGGACATTAACAATCTAAAGACAAAATTAGAAAGAAACTGTAACAGTATACAATTTAACACCGCTAAGTACAAATAGCAAAAAAATGGTAATATAAAAATTGCGACGCCTAGATTTGCTTCTTACTTGCAAACCATCGCGTTATTTACTCATTCCCTTCGGTTTATATACTCGTAGGAAGATAGCAAAAAATATCATAATGTTATTTGTATATAATATAATGCGTATTATGTAGGTATTTCATTTTAATACATGTTGTGAATATTTAAATTAATAATAAATTGTAAATTAATAAAAAATATATCATCTTAAAATATCAATACATATAATAAAATTTTAACTAAGCCGAATCTGTACATTAAATATTTGTTGGAAAATCTTATTGAAATAAACATTATTATCGATACAGAGGCCGAATCTATAGTTTTTAGCATTTTTGTCTGTCTGTCTGTCTGTTACCAAATCACATAAAAACCACAGGTGGGATTTGAAATGTCAATAAATGAAAATGTCTCATTTCTGAGAAAAATACAAAACCTGCAATATAAGATTATTCTAATATGTAAAAATTAAGAATTTGGGTTTTGGTCATCTAAACGCTCTAATTATACCCTCCGGTATACCATAATATAAGTTTTAATTAAAATATTATTCCTATATGTACATAACAGTTATAAAATTAAATTAAAAATTAAAAAAAAAACAATACAATGACCTATTCGTTCACATCTTGAATTAATTTAAAAGATACTTTTTATTTCGTACGTACGATATTTATGTATATACACACACATATTTATATACATGTATATAAATATGTGTGTATATACAAATGTGTATTTAGCGTTTATTATTTATTATATTTAACGATATATTACGTACGTACCGCGTGCAATAAGTAGTATTATATATGTAAAAACTATATTCCGTACAATTCAAATAATAATAATTATAGTTTAAAAAAGTCAATCCTTTCTAAGGTACGTAATCACTTGTATCTATCCAACTAAAATAAGGAATATCGACCAAAGTAGAACAGCTATAAAGCTTCTCTACCTAATGAAAATCCAATTTAACTAATTGCATTAGCACTGGTTACCTGGTAAACTATCACAAGAGCGAGCACTGTGCCACGAGCAACTACTTTCTAAGCAGACATCAAAAATGCCAAAGGACGATCCAGAAACTGCGGCCCTTAAAAAAGAATTGGCGGATCTCATAGCTAAAGCTAAGGTAATATCATTTTATCATTCACTCTACTCTGAAAATATATTCAACATACTCGTACAACAATTCGGCGTATGAAAATGATTTCAATATATTTTAAATAATTTATGAAAATTATTTAAAATATATTCGCTTAGTGTTTATTTTTATAAGTTTGGCTTGGCGTATTAAGTTAACATGTGTTTTTCATATGTGGTTGTCTTAGGCGAAAAAGATGCAAAATATAATGAACGTTGTCAAAAATTATATACCTATCGATATCTTAATTTGCAAACCAGCCAACCCCACATTTCGTCAAAAAATATTTTTTGGTTCGGATTGTACACAACTGTAATTCAGTAGGTTTATTTTAGTAAGATTTTACAGTATTAAAAATAACAGCTTACGATATTATCTACCAACGGTATTTTAGATTTTAATAAGTAGTGTACAAACAATATTATATATAAAGTTTTATGTGTCTCCTGAAAAATTTGCTCGTATGGAGTTAGCTGGTTTGCCAAATAAGGTATCGATATGTTAAAAATGTTCATTTTTAATTAATAGGTACCTAAATAATTGCTTTATTTTTAAAATATTTCAATATATTATTTGTTTACATTTCATGAGCTATGCCTGATATTGTAATTTTGAATTCTCAGTTATTTACTGCAAAACTATGTAAATTCATTGCAAGCATGTCAATGTACAAGTGCCTGATCTTACTTAATTTTAAAATGATTCCGCTGTAGATGAAACCTTTATACACATGCACCTCGCCTTAAGGTCTACTCGGATAAACAGATGTCAGATTGTATTATATCGTTATTGAAATCCTGCTAAATAATATATATTTTTAATTATAACAAAAAAAATCGATAAAAAACATTACTTTTTCTACTAAAAACACGCATTATATAACCGCTTAAAATTAATTACTCCATTTCTAGGAGAGTAATATTTTAAATTGACATTATAACTTATGCATTCATTAAAAAATATGTAAATCGATTATTGTGAGTTTGCATACACACAAAATACAATACAGTGTAATTGAATGCTTCCTCCCCTTTCGAAGTTCATAATAATATTAAAATACGTAACAGAATTCGTTCCATGCAACCATGTGCTATGCAATACGTAGAAAGCTATACAATATACCGGCCACGGTAATAGCATTATAAACCCGGAGCGGTGACGAGTAAATAACGGTGGAAGAATTGTTAATATAATATCTGCCGGGGTTTTGTTGCTTTTCCATGTTGTTTTATACAGTTAAAGTACCTAAATGAGTTTCTTTTCTTATATGTAGGTATACTTACAGTAAAACTAATGTATGACAGTGCAGTCATTCAGTCAGTCATCAGTCAGTCAGTTCCATGATGCTAAGAAAGCTAGTTTGGTTAGATAAAAAAAGAAAAAGATAAAAAATCTGCATTAGAAGCCGCGCGTGCCTCCAACGACTAGACGACGATTAGGGATAGCTAACAGTGCAAAGCAGTAATCCTCTGCTTTATAATATTATTATCTCTTAAGTTTAAATATAAATTAATTCGATCTACGTCTTGTCATATAACATTACATAAATACGCAGAAAATTCTATATGACTACATTACTAATATAAATGTTTGTCAGTTTGGATATAGGAAGTAGGAGTAGGTAAACTCCGGAGTTAAAAGAAATGATTTTGAAAATTCATTAAATAACTAAATTAGCCTGAGTGTGATAGAGCTATTTTTATTTACCTATAAATAATGTCAACATGTTCCCGTGTACTCAGAGGTGCATCAGGTGTACGAAGCTTAAACTTCAGCGAAGTGATTGCGGATAGCCAGCTTATAAATATGCACTTTACAGGCTGAACAAGAAAAAGTCGCAGATGCAAAACTTGCTGAAAAATGTGGTGACATGAGCGATATACCTAAGATTCGTCTCATCACTAAGAAAACCCTAAAAGGTCACATTAATAAAGTTAATTCTGTCCACTACAGTGGGGATTCAAGGTATGTTTCCAACTCATTTATTGCGTACAGGAAATCAAAATATGGAGGAGTACAAATTACAATATACTTACATAATTATGTACCTATCTAGCTGATTGTGTACGCCTTCAGGGCTTAATAAAAATATTATGTAAATTCTTACAATATCTATGTAGCAATATACCGTGATGTGAAAAATTTATTTTCCATATTCTATACCTTATATACTCATTACGAGGTGAAGCTACTTAGCTGCTTGCTTAAATATTGGATGTAATGTTACTTCTACTTTGGTTATGTTAAGGTCTACTTAAAATTTAAGGTTAAGTCCAACCCAATGTGCGTTCACCATGTTGTGGTGGGGGAGGACTAAATAGCCGGCTATTCAGCCGGGGTATATTAAAAACGCACTGGGAGGCGGCTCACCTCGTTGGGCGGAGTGCCATGCTCGTTGCTCCTGGTACTTGTCTGATAGCAAAGTAGACTGTAGTAGTAACCCCATGGTTATTGTGGTCTACTTCGGCAGACCTGCCGTCAGGCCAACGTGGTTGAGTGCGTAAGCCGCATTAAGACAAGGGAGGTTTCGTTGGGTTTTAGTGGGTAGTACTGGCTTTGCCGGTGAGTCCCACATAACCACTTACATAACTACAATTACTTTAGAGTAATTACCGATACAAATGATTGTATTTAGCAGACCTATATCTAAATCGTAACTCGGACTTAGCATATCATAGTCTTGAAAGGTAAGTGTTTTATGTAGCACATTACATAAGAATAAATATTCTACCTAACTGATATCTCTGTTGTACCATACGCCAGACGAGTGGGATTGATAGGTATATTGAATTTTACTTGTATATTTTCACAGTTTTCCGAACAACCCTGTTGTTTTATGTACGTGACGTACGTACATATATATGTATGTAAGATATAGAACATGGGCGCCCATTGGATGGCGAATGGCGAAAAGCACTCACAACCAATAATTAATGTAACTTAATACGTTGTGTCTGACTGAATAATGAAGATTGGTTTTCGACAATATTTTGTAAAACATATGTAAACACCAGGTTTTCTACTATAACGTAGATGAGTAAGGTTTTTATACCTTTAACACCCGTTATCTGTAAATTGGCCCGCTTTCAAACCAGCAAGTACGCGTACCGTCTTAACTGCATATTAGACTATTAATCTTAAAAAATTAAGCTTTTCTAAAATGTAGTAGATCTGTGGGCTCTGGGATCTTGGACTACACATTGATATTAAGGTGTTTTGTGCTCGTGTTGACACGACTGCACGGTGTATTGTACCATGTTTTTTTTTAATTAATGAGCATTAGTAACAGTGCATTAATTGGAAGATCATTACGAATTTTATTATTAACATCTGTGTTATTTATTTCCATGACGTAAACACCGAATCAAATATGTTTAAAGTGTCAGTCTGTTTCGATCTGCGTGACCATTGCTAACGATTAAACCGATGGATTTAACCTTTACTATAAAGAATCTAATTGGTTATAAGAACCAGTGTCTTGTTAGTTGCTATATAATTATTAAATAGTAAAAACTAACGATTTAACTTACGTTACGACAGCACTTAGCTGCTGGATAGATTTTGATTAAAGTTTCAAATAAAGTTCCATTTATTTATGGATGCTGGCATAAATCTTTTACAGTAAAACGATACATGGAAGATAACCAAATGTTAAACAAGCCAGTAATGTATAATATAACAATTTGTGATTATTTTACAGGCACTGTGTAACAGGCTCCCTTGATGGAAAGTTAATTATCTGGGACACGTGGAGTGGCAACAAAGTGCAGGTGATACCGCTGCGCTCGGCGTGGGTTATGAGCGTCGCTTTTGCACCCTCTGGAAACTTTGTCGGTAGTTATTGAGAATTTAATAAAAATGATTTTTTCTAAAAAATCTAGTCAATAATCCATATTTTTTTGCAATTTTTATGATTACCGAAATTATGTTAACATGCCACATCTTGTCCTTTAAACCATTATTTGTGTGTTACTTTTTCACGCTGAAACGGCTGGACGGATTTGGATAAAATTTAGCACACAGATACAGTATCACTTAGAGTAACAAATATACTACTGTTTGGCACGTAAAACGAGGGTAAGTCACTAGTTACAAAAAATATTTCTAGCTTGCGGTGGAATGGATAACATGTGTACCGTATACGATGTGAACAACCGTGATGCTACGGGCTCTGCCAAAATGGTGCGCGAACTTGCTGGCTACGAGGGTTTCCTAAGTAGCTGCCGGTTCCTTGACGACACTCATATCCTCACTGGCTCTGGAGATATGAAAATGTAAATATGACACAATTTTTATTTCCATATATTCCTTTAAAACAATATACCTACATGTTTATACATTTTCTTCCTTTATTAAAAAGATGCGTCTGGGACTTGGAAGTAGGTAAAAGGGAGGTGGAATTCGACGCTCACGCCGGGGACGTGGTCACTATTTCGTTGTCACCAGGTACGACCTTCAATCATATCTTTTAATTTAATATATAAAATTATACGTAGTTACTACAAAAATAACTCAACTAATAACTATGATAAAATAATTGGGTCCTTGTAGATATGAAAACTTATGTAACTGGATCGGTTGATAGAACTTGTAAACTCTGGGACGTGCGTGCGGAAAAGGCAAAGCAAACCTTTTTTGGGCATGAAGCTGACGTGAACAGTGTTTGTGTAAGTACAATAAAATTAATATCTGCGTTATGTCAATAAATATCATACTAATTCATTAATTATAATTAAGTAATAAAAATTAATAATTATAATAAACAGATTAAATTAATCTTAATGAAACCAGTAAAGCCTCTTAAAGTTTTCGCGGTTACAAATGTTTCCTAGAATTTGTTTAAGGCTATACTAATATCTATACTAATATTATAAAGAGGTAAAAAGTTTATGAGTTTGTAAAGTTATAGGGGGTAATCTCTGGATCTACTGAACCGATTTAGATGAAATTTAGTAAGAAGATAGTTTGAGACCCTGGGAAGGACATAGGATACTTTCCATCCCTTAACCGGGTGAAAATGGGGATGAAAATTTGTATGAGGAATCAACCTTGGGACGAACCCGAGCGAAACCAAGGTGAGTAATTTTACAAAACAGTCTTTCGATGCCCATCAAGAAATTTCTTTATTTACAAACATTGTTTGCGATTCTATTTATTAGAATTTTGACTAAAACCACAAATTAACGTTATAATACATATTACAATGAATTTATTTGAAGTTTACAAAACTTTATATTCTTTTTAAAATTACCATAGAAATTTTTCAGTGTTTACTGTATTCGTCAAATCACAAATTACGAGTTCATTGGCTTGTATTGGATGTAACGGTTTCCTCGTTATTACTTTCACAGAAGCTTTATGCCGGATAAGTTTTACAAAACCTATAAATGTATTTAATTGAGGCAGTGATAGCCCCGTGGTAACGCGCTCGCTTGGGAAACCGAGTGAAGCGGGTTCAAACCCGGGTCTCGCACCTCTCATGTTTTCATGTGCGAATCATTTCTAACATGATTACCGATTATGATAAAGAGTAACATCGGGAAACCTGCATGTCTGAGAGAACCTAGCAAGTTTTCGAAAGACTAGATTCTTTTTCCCAGAAAATAAACCATGAATCCAATTCGTTTAAATTAGAGACTAGCAAGTTAAGTTTAGAACATGCGTCACCATCGGTCCATTGAAGAACTATAAACAACTTAGCAATGCATCAATTTTAAGTACAAGTACTACGAGTACTTATCGGAACTTACCTATGATATAATCTATACAGATAAACAAAATTGAAGTGTCTGTTTGTAATGTCAAAATATCAGCTTTTTACTTCTACATATGAAAGTATATACGGTACCTATACAGTGGACCCCCGGTAATCCGGCCCCTGTGTAATCCGGCGCCCCCTATAATCCGACATGCCTAGCACTGTTGAATGTAAAAACACAAACATTTTTTGACTAATCTACGAATATAAGATAGTGCATGATTAAACAGTTTGCAACTCTTACGCGCCGTCATTACACTATATTACGCTCGACGCGCGGTTTTAATTTTTATTGCTTAATTTAAAAATAATAATAAAAAATATTTTTTTTTTATCTGTCTGTCTGTTTGTTCCGGCTAATCTCCGAAACGACTGGATCGATTTAGCGGGACTTTCACTAGTAGATGGATGTTATGAGAAGAAATTAGGTTACTTTTATTTAAGAAATAGGATTAGGGTTCCGCACAGAAATAAAAACCCATGAAAAGGCGAACAAAATCGTGGTATCTAGGGACGCACCCGAGCGAAGCGAGTGTAAGTCGCTAGTACAATATAAAATGTCAATTTTCAATGAGCTTTTATGATGGCCACGATTAATTGAATGATAAATAATTGCACTAACATTTCAAAAGGAAGAGACCGTAAAATATTTTACCTTTTCGTATAATTGGAAATTTCTCTATGTTTTTACAAGCTGAAAATTTATAATAAATTTATTTCCTTCTGTGTTTAATTGCCGTCAAATTCTTTCGTTTGAATTCGAAATTTTAATTATCGAATAAATATCTCAATATATCCCAGTTTAATATGATATTTATTTTTCTAGTATCATCCTAGCGGACAAGCATTCGCTACTGCGTCAGAGGATAAAACGGCTCGTTTGTTCGACATCCGTAGCGACCAGCAACTCGGCCATTACACACCCCCTGGCTCTAGCGGTTTTACAAGCTGTGGTAAGAGTTCTATGCATACTTAATACTCGACAGATGTGAAAATTAAGATACCTGTTAATTTATTTTACTACGTTTATATCTTATTGACAGATTTTAATAAAAAAAATACCCTCCTATCCCCACCTCTCATTTTTTAAACGCGATTTTTGTATTTTTGTATGAACAAAGCCAAAGAGTGTTTTTTGTAGATTGAACGCGGGCGTAGCCGCGGGTTCTGCCAGTATTATTATATTATATATAAAAATCAGTTTACTAAATGAGAGTAGAAAGGTAATAAAATGATGACATTGGGCAAATTTTAATCTATTTGGTTTTTTTTAAGAATTCTTATATTTCCTGTATCATTGGCTCAGAAATTTTGCATTAAAAAGTAACTTTAAGAATATTTCAATCAAGAATCAATTTTTGATTTAATTAATTATTATATATTTTGAAAAACATATTTTCTTAGAAATTACTTTATATTACTTGTGCATAAAGTTTGCACTTTTCTTTCTATTATTTATAACATATATGTAGTAAATAGATTGTTTTATTTATTTTATTCATTAAGGAATAATTTTTACTCATATGTAATGCACAGGTCTGTCCGTTAGCGGGCGGTATCTGCTTGCTGGTTCGGATGACAATACTGTGCATTCTTGGGACACTATGAAAGTCGCTCATACGGGTATACTTTTTTGTTTATATTGTTATGGAATAAGGACTTAAGTTCAGAGATCGGAAATTAAACTGGATAACAAGCTATGTACATTGTACATATGTATATGTATTGCTATTACGAGAAAGATAAAAAATAACTTATAACAATGCAATACAAGGTATACGAGTACCTCTTACATGCGGGATTTCCGTTGTGTGTCTTCACTCAACTTAGAATTCATACTGAGTACTTGAAAACCTGTAACTACTATACATATATGTAATGCAAAGAGAAAAATCGTAATAGATGTTTCGTTTGTTATAATAACTTTAAATTTCTTTATTGAATGTGTTTCTTTCTCTCCGATTCATAAGAAACGTTCATTGGAATCCCATAATCCCATAAATATTATAAATGCGAAAGTTTGGATGGATGTTTGTTACTCACGCCAGAAAAGCTGAAAGGATCAGGGTGAAAAACACAGAGATAGATTAAAATCTGATCCAGAAAAAAAGTAGGGTTCCAATGGACAGTGGGATATCCATACCAACCGTTAAAACGAACCTGAGCGAAACAAGGGTGAGTCGCTAGTTTTATATAAAATATGTTACAGGTACGTTGAATGGACATGAGAATAGAGTGACATCAATTTCTCTAGCGCCTAGCGGCATAGCACTTGCTAGCTGCTCCTGGGACCAGAGTGTACGAGTTTGGGGCTGATTGATTTATTTTTATTTTACATGTTATTACTATTATCCTACAATGTTGCTATTTTTAGGTCTTATCGTGCTAAAATTATAAATTTTCAAACATAATAAATACCAACTGTCTAGCATAAGAGAAGAAACCGTAGATTCCAAGTCTGTAGCAGTAGAGGGTTATTTTTAATAGAATATTTATTTAATTTTTAAGGCAAATAAATAATTTAGGATTTATTTTATGCAATAAAAAATATGTAATAAAATCTAGCGATTATAAAATCGATGCAGTGTCAGATTAAATGTATTTTAACTATTATTTTGATTTCTTAGTCATAATTATCATATTATGCTTAATTAAATATTATCGTACTTTAATCGTTTTTTGATGTTTCCTTATTAAAATAAAAAAAAATGAATAGAAGCTAATTTATAATCTTCAAATAAAACAGATTACGAGTATACCAATGAATTAATTTATTAATTTACAATTTATACCTAATACTAGTGACTTACCCCCGCTTCGCTCGGGTGCGTCCCTAGGTAAGTTTTAAATACATATAAAATATAAATAGTTATTGCGAGAAAACCTACGTTAGCAGAAGGACTTCTTCTGTAGGTCTTATTAAGACATTCAATTTTCTAGTAAATTGTTTTGATGTAGGTAAGTATATCTTAAGGTTTAGCCAGCGTTATACTTGTTCTAAGAACGACTCGATGGAACTGTTTTCAAGTGAGAATGAAAGATTTTCCTGTAATAAAAGGTATCCTAAATGTCGACCCTAATAATAAGTTATTACTGCACAAAATTTTGTTAAATTCAGTTGAAATTGAAATTGAAATTTGTTTTTGAAACGCGCACATAGATTTCGCTAAGTTACTGTTTTATTATATGTATAGAGTATATGAATAAATTTAACCAACCAAGTACCAGTTAAGAACAATTTAACCCAATTATACTTTTCATTCGGAATAAACTGAAAATACTATAAAAATCTTCATTGAGTACATAAACAAATATAATAAAAAAATGTATAACAGATAAAAAATAAATACGAATAAAAATAATTATTCGTACTTTAATTGTACGAATACTAAATAGTTAATAATTATGGCTTTCGCTATTCGTCCGATAATCGGATGAATAAAAATTATATTATTCGTCCGACTATTGTCGGTTTGTACGAATATTTACCACTTTTTTGTTTTCTAATGTAAAATACTTTAAAAGTGTTTTTAGGCGCAGGAGTTTCTATGTGCAAAAAAAAATAAGCTTAACCTACCGAGCTGGAAATTTATCCTATTAAATCCCAACTATTTTTAAGTTATGCAAAAAAAATACCTTAAAGTACCTAACCAGCTGACCAAGCTACCTATTTTACTTATTTATTTATTAGTCTATTCATCCTTCATTTTAATTTACATATTTTATAAAGGACGAATAATTATTTTTTATTCGTCCTATTAAAGAACGAATAGAAACTCCCTTTTTCAATTTTGATTTCTTCCATAAAAAAAACATCATTCAGCTTCCAAGCACCTCTCTTATTTCAAGCGCCCTTCAGTAGATACTTTGATTTTTCTAAACTTTGTAAATTTACTTAAATTAAAATCCTGCAATTTGATACGTGAATGAATTATGGACATGTTTATCAGAATAAGTTCTTATCAAACACACCATAGAACTTTTTGTTTGAACTACGAGTATATTATAATCCCACTATATAAGATATATTTCTTTTAAAAATAATACATTTTCTAATTATATTCCCATCAAACATCACAATCCAAGTTTTAAGAAATAATAATCTCCACATTCTAAAAAATCTTTTCAAACTTTAAATGTATAATGTGTAGCTATATTATAGCTTACTGCTAATATATGTTTTTATTAATGTCAATATAATAATTGAATCAAAGAGGCTTCTAGTCTCTCTTAAAAATATCAAGATCAATCTACCTACTTTGACTTTAAGAAACCATGAATTGAACATAAAACTAACAGACAGCATTTATGACATTAGTAAAAAATAAATAACAATATTTAAACAAGATAAATTAGGTATTAATTGTAAATCTCTAACTGCTATCAGTAAATTTCAAACCGCAGTTAAATTAATTTACGATCGATGCGTTTGGTTCCGAGCACAAAGGCTCTTTTCCGGTACAAATATCAAAGAATATAACCCTTCTACAATGTACATGCGTCACTAGCACGCTCTCACTCAGTACAGTGTATTTACACACTACATCCGCCCTTATGGGGTGGATCAGTAAGTAGTACCTAGTATAGTATCATATGTCTCTCATCTCAAAGCTTAATTGTGGTTTATATACACACGTATAAAGGAAATGATTATCAGAGTTATTCTTAGAAATCGGATATTTAAAACAGGGATTAAATTCGGTTGTTTCAATATTAGTATGCCCATGTGTTTTCTATTATATTATCAAGCATACATATAATTAATTAAAGGACTGCAATAAAAACTATCCTTTCTCATCAAACACTACAAACACATATATATGTACATTGATATACAAAAAAACTATGTAAATGTCAGTAATATAAATCCATGCCGTAGTATTTGAAATAACTTTTAATCAATGGTTTGGTTTGAATTTAACATGCATGAAAATAAGGGAATGTTTGGAAAAATAAAGTGAACGAAATATAAACGGTATGTACCTACATATGTACATTGTACACTCCCTACTGATTCAGAACTGATCTTTGAAGATATTCAATTTCCGCTAGAAATATATTGTTATGCCAGTCATAGAAACTTTTTTATTTATTTATTTTATTACATATTTATATTATACAATTCAATTTGTTTGTTAAGTGGCTTCTAGGAGTGCTGTGAAGCTATGTATAATATACATTTTGCTATGTTGTGACCTTAAACCCAACATTTTTTGTCAAACTGTCTGACTGACTGACAGTTAGTGCATTGGGCACATTCCTTCATTACATAGCTTATAAACACTTCTGTTACGAGTATATTATAAGTCAATCAGTTAATTAAAACAATAGAAAAAAATTAGCAAATCGAAGATAAAAGTTAAAAGTAAATTATACAAAACTCGTCACAAATTTATTAACGTTTAATTTTTATCATTTATAATAATTATAATCATTAGTATTATAGTTTAGGGCCGAGAATTAAAAAGTTGAATCAAGAATTTTTACATTTTAGTGCATTCGAAATAGCAAAGCTTTAGCTAAGCTAAATTGCTTAGTTTTCCCTCTTTTATTATTGTAGGGTAGAGTTTTTTGTCAAGAGCTTCAAGTAGCCCTCTCGTAATATATACGTATATTTTACGCAGATATTTAACCAACCGTGACCCCTCACTTTAGAAGGTGATCAGGCGAATTTTTACATTTGTTGTTATGGTTTGCGATGCGGATATCAACAGGGTGCATTGGAACGCGCAATTCATGTATTAGTAGGGCACGAGCTCCTTGTTCTATTTTCAACAATTCTATCAATGATATTATGACAAAGAATTGTATAGTTTATACTTTATAGTTAACAATCAGTGTTATGTCAATAATGATCTAATTATTCATGAATAATTAACTTCAGATTTAAAGGAAACAAAATGATATAGATTTTCCTAAACTCAGCGTAGGTATACTGAATGAAATGTGAAACTCCAAATGTATGTTCAAGTAAACAATGTGGTAGCGAAATGGAAGGTAGAAATGAAACACTTAAATTATTCGTAATTTTTTTATTTATTAAGATTACTAAGAAATGTATAAAAATGCTATATTAACTTAACCCGCCTATACTCGTACTAAACAAAATTATAATCTAAGAAAGTTAAACCTATTTAAAATATCATAACTCATCATTCACCATCTTTCGCTTTACGAGTACATTGTGCCAAAGCGGCAGTGTTCCCCATATTCTGGACCGAGATGCTAAATCCTGCTGCATGGTTTGTTTTTCTCCAATATCTAAATATTCCATTTTATGGCTGCTAGTTGCCGGCTCCCATTTGAAAGGTACTTGCACTGGTTCATTTGGATTTCTGCACAAACATTAAATAATTAAGCTCGCTAGATTTTAGACATAGCACCTCCTCATCTTATCGTCTCTACTCGTGACAGAAAAGCTGGCGCATTTTTTGCCTAAAGAATCGGCATTGCCATTCAACGGAGGAATGCGGCTGGTATTCTTGCCACTCTTCCACGCAGACATAACTTGTACAGTAATAACTAAGTGTACATTTGTTTTGTATATATAATTAAATATATTTGTAATTTTCTTTATTGTATATAAATTACATATAATTTAAAAAAATACTAGATACATATTATAAAAATTAAAATAAGCATAATAATAATAAATTTTATCTCAAATGTATGGATATAAAATCAGTGAGGTTTGAAAAACCATATATACTTTTATGGATTTCTCGTTTTTAATCAAACGCGATACTTTATTTGTAAATATTTACTTTAGTTCAGGTTTTGATTTATTTTAACTGATTTATTTTACAAACATAAAGTACATATGTACATTTGTATATGCATATTATGTATCTGTATGAATTCCAAGGTGGTCCAAGATATAAAAAAATTACCCGCTAGTAGCGAAATTGGTCCAAATAGTAACCATCAGTTCGAGCATTTCATTGTCTTTCGGTGTGAATTTGTTATTCAGGAAGTGTATTGGGAACAAATACATCAGCTCATCTGCGTGGCACACACCTAAAATAAAGAAACGAGTAAAGTAGGGCTATATTTGATAAAATTGAGTTCTTCTTTGCTATTTCATCCAAAAAATAGCCAACTAAATCAAAGCTATTTTAATTATACAATAATAGTCAATGACATAACGAATAAATTAGACTTTAGATAAACATATAGAGTAAATCGTACTAATAATTGTTATATGATAAAATAATTTACAGGCAGTGGTAGGCCAGTGGTAACGCGCTCGCTTGGAAAACCGTGTGAAGCGGGTTCAAATCCCTTCAATCATTTCTAACATGATTACCACTTGCCTTACGGTAAAGGAAAACATCGTGAGAAAACCTCGCTGGTGCGAGTTGGCGGACTTCACTATTATCCCCCTCGTATTAAAAGGAGACCCGTGCCCGGCAGTGGGACGGTAAAAAGGGCTGAATACTATATAATTTACATTATATTATTTAAAAATAGGCCAACGAAATCATTTACCATAATTTCCTTTGGGATCGCCGAAAATCTGAGAAAAGCTGTTTGCTCCTCGATATGTTAGCTTATATAAATACACTGGATTTTTACTATAGTTAAATGCTTGCTCTACTGATTGTATCATTGGATAGTCAAAGTAAGAATCCGAGTAAAGCTGCAAAAAATAGAGTTTTTAATAGCATGGAAATTAAGAAAATTTAAGAATACGTATCTTTTAACTAATAAATAAATAATCATGATTTTATTTAAACATCTTTTACTTTTATACAGTACAGGAAATTGAATTTAAAATATTTAATGACAAAACGTGTAAGACGTTCGGTTTCTGAGACTGATTTCTTTGTACATTTTTCAGAAATTTTCAATAATCTATCGGAAACGATCATTGCTTTCTGGCTTTGACATGTATTAAATGAAGATTGTTCCGGAATTATTCATAATGTTACGGAAGAGCTTGCGGTATTTAATACGAGATCTAGTAATAGGTACAGTAATAGAGCTAGTAATTCTCGGAAACGACTGCATAAATGAAATAAGCAGAGGAGAAATGTACCTAGTTAAAATTGTATCATTCCTCACAATTTTTCATGATTATACTTATAAATTAAGTACTGTACAACAGTTATTAAAATCAATCAAGCCGAGACTTATGTATATATGGAAAATATCTGATTTTTATATAAGTTTTCTTGGTGTAGCCTTAACTAAATACTTATGTTTTGGTTATATGGTTGAATTTTAAAAAAAATGTATTATATTATAAAATATTTTTTTAAATCACCTTAAGTATTCCATCTTTGATTGTTTGTTCATCGTCACCCAAATACTTTTCTTTAAGTGATTTAGTTATTAGATCCGGATATGGAGAGTTTTCGTAATAGAACGTGACGGGAGCGATGATATCAAATCCAGAAACAAATTCCTTATACCGTTCCTCATGAGCCGTTATCCCTGTAAAGAAAAAAAAAAGCACTTTTATTTTAAAAACGCAAAATATATTTATTAAGTATTCGACTACTTGAATTGAACGACTCTTCCTCTACATATTATAAGCTGGTATATAAACGATGTCAGATGTAAATATTGCGACACAAAATCCAATATCAAATATTAAAGGGTGTTTACGAACAACGGTAACTGGTGAACGACGAACTTATTTAATTTGCAGAAAGTCAGATAGTACTCGTATAAAGTTTATCAGTAGGTAATACAGATTTATGTTCGATGAAATTCTTCAAATGATAACATATTTAAAGGAGCGGAATAACTCTTTGAACGACGAATCTTCATATGATTTGATTTTTATATATTTTTATTCGATTGCAAAAATGGGGTATTTTTATATGTGTGCACTGTGCACAGACTTTTCGTAGACGGCTTGATCGAAGTAGCTAATTTTGTGGTCTTTATAAATATTTTAACAAATCAATTGAGTCTATTTTGAACTACTTTTTTATTAGCAAGAAAATTAGATATGAACAATCATATTACCATTAACATTAAGTACCTGGGTGACCGAGCTTCACTCGGAGTTATTTTTCGTTGTTGCTTATGCCCGAGCGTGCGAAATTAGCAACCATATTTTGCGTGGAATAATACCAATGAAAACCGCGAATTTTTTTACACATTAATTATTGAACGTTTTTTTTCTTTTCATATACATCTAAATAAATTCTTTTCGCCTTCCCTGGTATGGACTCAAAAAAGAAATGAATAGACATCGAAAAATTTTAGCTCATTGCGTTAATATTTTTTTACTTTACTTTTATACTTATTATTGCTTTGAAATAGCATTACAATTTTAACCTTCAGTTGTCAATTTAACTTACATACAGACTTGAGACAACCTTCGTCCTTATTAATACCAGTAAGCCAAGGTACGAAAGTAGTTGTAGGCGGCAGACGAGGACTTCTAGTGAGAAAAGCTCCGGGGAGATCTGGTTCAACGACAGCTTTGTAAGGTGTCATCTGCTCGTAATCCCATGTCTAAAACATATATTTATATATAAATTTCCGGTGCGTGTGTTCATAAATCTTCTTTTACTAGTAAGCAGCTCGACCGATTTAGATTATTTTTTGAAGATATTTTATGGGGTCTCCTTTTAGCTACAGTTGGACCGGAAAGGTAGTACTGTTGTCGAGGTCTAGAATTGTTAACCGGATTGTCTTTTAAATACAATTGTCTTTTAATCAAAGGATAATACAAAATAAAGTAACAAGAGATTACCTACATACTCTGCAACCTCTGAAAACATAGTTTTTAGCTATTTGCATATACTAATCATTTATTTATGTTAGTGGGCATTCAATTAATATAAATTAAATTATAAATCTATCACATTAATAAATCATTGAACATAAAATTAATATTCTAGATAGCAACGTAGCCGTATGGTGATTTTAGCTTTCACTAATGGATAGTGAAGTGGTTTTTGCGGAATATACATAATGGAGATTTTCAGGGTTGCCTATTCCAAAATGGAAAAAACGAAATCCCTTTAGAATCACTCGCAAATCTATCTACGTCCCCGTCTGCCACATCCTATTTTTATCGAATCTACTGGAAAGTTGGCCTTTCGTATATACAGGTATATAATTGGTAGAGTTAGGTTACAAATGTCGAAAATATACATTAAATAAATAAATTCGAATATCAGAGGGTTTAAAACACATTTTATACCACAAAATTTAAAAAATAAACTTATCTTGAAAGAATAATGAGTTATTAGACTTCTATTATAAATGGCGAAATTTACGTGTGTATATAATATTATGTTTAGTACTCTTTTACGCTTAAATGGCAGGATGGTGGATTTAGATGAATAGGTATACTCCTAGGGGCCCCCCGAGCGAACCAAGTCAAGTGACTAACATTAAATATAAGAGATCAGTATAAGATAAACAAAATATAAGTGAAAATCTCCCATTGGAACTACGCGAGTAGACTTTACACTCAACTATACGACTACTTTTAGTGCTATTAGTACATGAAAGTGTTTTGAGATGTCTTGTCGAATGTCGATAGTCTTTTGTATTTTAAAGGTTTCTTTAAATTGTGGCTTTACAAACTTCTCACTGTATAGGTATACATATAACTCTGTACAACTTTTAAACAGACTTACATATAAGCTGAATTCTGTGCCGATAATATCGTATCCGTCTTGTTTACGAAGGCATTCAATCATGACATCTGAAGGCGCTTGAGGACAATTGAGAAGTTTAGCTAACCGAAACGCGGCCCGTCGTGCCTCTCCTGGGGGTGCTTCAGCCCATGGTACCAACGCTGTTCCAGATTCTGAAATGGCCTTATGGAATAAACCTGAAAATATGAAATGTGCTTAGCTTTACGTGTGGCATAAACATTTATAATGTTATTATTACTTTTATTATTAGCAGAAGCAAGAAATCTTGTTCTATAAATAAGTATAAATGCTTTCAACAATATTCAAAATGGCAATACCTTCACTTGTTTTCGATAACATGTGGTAGTTAACGCTGGCTCCACCAGCACTTTCTCCGAAAATTGTAATAGATTGATTGTCTCCACCAAACGCATGAATGGTTTTTTGGATGAACCGAAGGGCCTCTTGTTGATCCTTAAGACCATTGTTGCCAGGACAATGTTCATCTAGAGTTGATAAAAAGCCTAGTGGACCTACGAAAATGTACTATATTAATATATAATGTAACTATATATGACACATTACAAAGCGAACGAAGCCGCGGGCATACTCTAGTTTATAAAAAGTTCAATAGCTGAATATGTGCATATATTAACCTAATCTATAATTAATCGCCACAAAGAGTACATCCCTGTCGAGGAGATGCTCCGGTCCGTACATTTCGGTCGTCGCATCACCGCACATCCAGCCGCCACCATGTATGAAGACCATAACCGGCAGAAGTTTGTCTTCTTCTTTTACTTCCTGAACAAATAACAACAAAAGTATCATATTTTTATTAAATATTTTATAGTAGTGATTTATCATGTCCCATTTATTGACCTCTTCATGAAAATTATTGAAAATAGTTCACGTAACATATTTACATAATACATATGTAGGTATCTATATGTGGCTCTTCATTAAATATTGCGAATATGATAATTAACATTGTGCCGAATGAAATTATTTTAAAATTGAAATGAAATGGTAATATCGGTTTGATGTTTCCAATTAAAATTATATATATATAAATAATTTTATACACTAGCAGAAACTGCGTATCCGCCCGCGTTCAATCTACAAAAAAAAACTATATATATGAACATGTTCATAGTGTATTATAATAGTCTGTAAGAAAGATCAAAGTGCGTAACTTTGAATATAACTATATATGTACGAGCATATATTACTAAAAGCCAATCCTTTTAAAGGTAGTAACGTGAATTCTGCGCTAGCATTGACATGATGTCGTTTCACGCTTTGTTCAAACAATTTTTTAGAGTTGATTGGCTACTACGAATTAAACACACGACGGCCCTTTTGACACTTTAATTTTCTCTTCAAATTTTTATAGAGTAAAAAAATATAATTGCGGAACTTAATAACTTACATTGCCAGTAAATGGTGAGTATATATTGAGGTACAGGCAATCTTCTTGGCCAACTATGTCTTTTTGTCGTATATATGGGTTCCGTTGTATACATATAGGGCTCACTTGAGACGCATCTAATACGCCTTCCCAAGGTGATATTGGAACTGGTGCCTGCGAATGATAAGCTTATAGTTAATTTTCCAGATACTGTTTCTACACTAGATTACACAAAGCAAGCAATTTCCGCTGAATATAGTATATATTTTAATATCAGAAACGCCTTTACGAAATATTTATTTCCTGGAAGAACGTTTTTAGATTATACTCGAGTAATATAGATTGAAAATATTGACTGAATTCTGATTACATGATATTTTTATACAATAGACAAAATTGAGTATTCATAACTTATTTTTTATAATAATATTGTAAATATTATAACGCAACGCAAAACGCAGTGGGCGTTTTGTTTTGTATACTTTCAAGAATATACGGGCACGCTGTGTCTATCATAGTTTTTTGAACAGTTTATTTATTAAGATGTCATTTTTGTAATACCGCAGCTTTCGTTCTTATTAAAAAATAAGTAACTTAATAAATATAAAAATAAGATTACCTAAGTAATACGCATTAAGCTGTAAATTTATCGGTTAATTCGTTTGGGCGCTACGACGCCACAGACAGATACACAGATACACACTCACAAACTCTTTTTGCATCGGGGGTTAAAAAGATTGCTTTTATTTAAAACGTCAACAACAAACCAAGCAGGAATGATGGCGTCTAATCATTAAAGAATATAAAATTTAATCTCACAAGATATGCTAATTGCTAATAAAATAAAAGCTTATTTTTATATGTACGATTTTTTACAAGCTTTTATTTAGTTTAGATATCACCTATTAGGTAAATCTCGCGACAAGCTTTTTACCCGACTGTGCCAGAAGGAGCTATTATAAAACATTTACGTAATAATATGTTTGTCTCCGATTGAATAATACTATGCTCCTTTGCAAAACTATTTCATTCTTTTAGTTCGCTTTTGTGCAGTCGGTATTTTTGTAAATAATTTTTATATCATTTTAAAGACCGGCCTTAGCCATTTGGGCGACCCGGGCGAGTCATGCCTTTAGCGCCCGTTTACTTATTTTATTAGAATTAAAAAAAAACGTGTATGTAGAATTATTTAGTGAGATATAAGATAAAACGCTGAGTCTAGTTTTCCTTTAGATCGATAAAAATAAGTATTCAAATTAAACGGTTGAGCTGGCGCGCGCGGCGCCCTGTATAACCTGGCGCTCCGGGAAGCCGCCCCGGTCGCCCCCCCTAAAGTCGGCACTAATCAGATAAATTATGTAGGTAATATAAAAAAACTGATGGGTTTAATATAGTTTAAAGATTATTTTCTTCTATTTAGGCCATTTAAATAAAAGCTGGTTTTTAAAAATATTTTTATGCGTGAACTCTTATGACTGCGTGCAACTAACAATAATATTTTAGTACGTAGGTATTGTTATTATTATACATTTCATAATAAAACATTGTAGCACTTTCTTACTTCCCATTTCGTAAACAAATAACAATTCTTTTATCCTATTAATACTTATTATTAAACTTCGTGAAAATAGTTTCATATTTGGAAATTTGGATCTTTTACTCAAACTTCAGGTTTAAGATCATTTATTTCTCAAAAGAATATTACAATTGACTTATATGAGATTAGCTAAAGCTTAACTTAACACTTTATTGGGTACATCAAAAGTCACAGGCAAGACAAGTAACAAGTAGAAGGTAAGATTAAAAATGTATACACAAGTTAACACAGAAGTAAGCGCACTATCTACAGCACAGCACAGTACAGCCACAGCGCAACTGGAAGAGGTATTGCTCTGGATTTAATTTATACTCAATTTTACGGTATGTTATATTTTAATATTTTTTCTTTATGTTCGATTTTACGTAATGATAACATGCGAAATACTATTATTACACATGTATATATATATATATATATATATATATATATATATATATATATATATATATATAATTATATAATAACCAAATTATATATATATATATATATATATAATTTGGTTATTTCAATGTAGCTTTTTATAATAATTATATTAATTTTTATATTAATTATTTATATAAAAAGGAAAATTCAATTTTTTGCTGAAAATATAACTTTATTTAATTAGCTATTGTCCGTTTTTGTTGATGTACTAATGAGATGATTTTGCTATCTTTCAGACAGCGTCGTATTTCCGTGTTTTCAAAAAACTTCAATTTTTTGCCAGCAAAGAACAGATTTAAATGAGATTTTACATCATGAATTATTATTATTATATGTAATGATAATGATAATAAAGATTATTATTAGGTCAATATTTAAAAACTACTTCCATTTCATATTTTATTTTCGGCACCGGTTCATACCATTTTTGGCCTTTGGTCGCATTTCAGACAATTTATGTTCGCATTACACACAATTTTGATTAAAATAAGACAGAATAACAAGCATACAAATTGTAGTATCTTGAGAGTGGAGGACAAATAGACACCAGCAACCATACTTAAGAATAAGATATCACGTAAAATTTCAATAAAATTTTGTAAAAAACTTTTTAACAAAAAAATAAAAACCGACTTCAAACAAAAGCACTAAAAAGTAATAAATAACTGATTGGTAGTTTTCATTTACTATACATACCTAATCAAATATTTTCGAAGTCGGTGTGCTTTGCTTTGTATGGGCTGGCACCGATTTCGAAAATATTGGATTAGGTATGTATTTAATAGGTAGGCTTTAATTACTTAGCCAAAGCACACCGACTTCGAAAATATTTGATTAGGTATGTATAGTAAATGAAAACTACCAATCAGTTATTTATTACTTTTTAGTGCTTTTGTTTGAAGTCGGTTTTTATTTTTTTGTTAAAAAGTTTTTTACAAAATTTTATTGAAATTTTACGTGATATCTTATTCTTAAGTATGGTTGCTGGTGTCTATTTGTCCTCCACTCTCAAGATACTACAATTTGTATGCTTGTTATTCTGTCTTATTTTAATCAAAATTGTGTGTAATGCGAACATAAATTGTCTGAAATGCGACCAAAGGCCAAAAATGGTATGAACCGGTGCCGAAAATAAAATATGAAATGGAAGTAGTTTTTAAATATTGACCTAATAATAATCTTTATTATCATTATCATTACATATAATAATAATAATTCATGATGTAAAATCTCATTTAAATCTGTTCTTTGCTGGCAAAAAATTGAAGTTTTTTGAAAACACGGAAATACGACGCTGTCTGAAAGATAGCAAAATCATCTCATTAGTACATCAACAAAAACGGACAATAGCTAATTAAATAAAGTTATATTTTCAGCAAAAAATTGAATTTTCCTTTTTATATAAATAATTAATATAAAAATTAATATAATTATTATAAAAAGCTACATTGAAATAACCAAATTATATATATATATATATATATATATATATATATATATATAATTTGGTTATTATATAATTATATATATATATATATATATATATATATATATATACATGTGTAATAATAGTATTTCGCATGTTATCATTACGTAAAATCGAACATAAAGAAAAAATATTAAAATATAACATACCGTAAAATTGAGTATAAATTAAATCCAGAGCAATACCTCTTCCAGTTGCGCTGTGGCTGTACTGTGCTGTGCTGTAGATAGTGCGCTTACTTCTGTGTTAACTTGTGTATACATTTTTAATCTTACCTTCTACTTGTTACTTGTCTTGCCTGTGACTTTTGATGTACCCAATAAAGTGTTAAGTTAAGCTTTAGCTAATCTCATATAAGTCAATTGTAATATTCTTTTGAGAAATAAATGATCTTAAACCTGAAGTTTGAGTAAAAGATCCAAATTTCCAAATATGAAACTATTTTCACGAAGTTTAATAATAAGTATTAATAGGATAAAAGAATTGTTATTTGTTTACGAAATGGGAAGTAAGAAAGTGCTACAATGTTTTATTATGAAATGTATAATAATAACAATACCTACGTACTAAAATATTATTGTTAGTTGCACGCAGTCATAAGAGTTCACGCATAAAAATATTTTTAAAAACCAGCTTTTATTTAAATGGCCTAAATAGAAGAAAATAATCTTTAAACTATATTAAACCCATCAGTTTTTTTATATTACCTACATAATTTATCTGATTAGTGCCGACTTTAGGGGGGGCGACCGGGGCGGCTTCCCGGAGCGCCAGGTTATACAGGGCGCCGCGCGCGCCAGCTCAACCGTTTAATTTGAATACTTATTTTTATCGATCGATTAGGTATGTATAGTAAATGAAAACTACCAATCAGTTATTTATTACTTTTTAGTGCTTTTGTTTGAAGTCGGTTTTTATTTTTTTGTTAAAAAGTTTTTATTTTTTCCCTTTTTAGTGTAGACAGTCGTAGAAAAGTAAGGATTCTAACGTGTTAGGCTTGTCGAATCAAACAAAATAAGCCCAAACTCAAAGTATCTACTATTAGCCACTGAAGAGTTCCACCATCCACCTTCTGGCATTGCCATCAGATCAGGTCAACAACACCGAACTACTGTACTATCAACGGAAATAGAAATACTTGCAAAGTTTCAAGTCAATATGACAATTAGAAGTAGGTTAAATTCATCATTCGTTGTTTTTCCACCCTTAGGAGTGGTATTTTTTTTTGAAATTTAAATGGGACCAATCTGGAAGTATACTCTTTCAAACGACACAAAAATTGTCCAAATCGGTTAATAAATGACGGAGTTCTGAGGTAACAAACATAAAAAAAAAAAAACATACAGTCGAATTGAGAACCTCGTCCTTTTTGAAGTCGGTTGAAAATAATTTTCACATGTTACACATGCTATTGATTATTTTGTTTACAGTATTGGTAAAAGACCAAGACCCTTACTGTATGAATTTTGAAATAAAAACGGGGTTATCTACTATACGTGACCACTTTTATTTTATTATGTTTTAATTTTCAAATATGTAGGTATTTGTACGAAGGCAAAAATGAATTACGTCTGCGATTAAAAAGTTTTTGTAATAATTTCACATATAACATATAGATCTTGATCTATCTATTCTAAATATAAACTTTGTTTTAACATATCACAT